CCGCGGCGAAATCCTCTGGCTCGTAGTAGAGCATGTCAATGGCCTCTCCGATGTGATAACAGAAGGTGGGCTGATAGGCTCCGGCCGCCTTGGTCAGAGAGCCAATACCGGGCATTGAGCCCTCCAGGGGAAGATGCTCATGGTCTCCGGGACAGCGCCATGCCAAGTAGTCCACCATTGATGCACTTGTCAGCTGAAGTCGAGTGGGCTTCTTCACAAAGAGATCTGCAATCTTTGTGTCATAGGCGCATTGGTCCAGGAGACAAGGCCAACCAGGCAGCTTCTTCCAGGTCTTCGTTTCCCAGGCCTTGGAGCCAAGGGGATGCTCAATGCCAGCGTCTCTTCCTTCATTGTACTGGAGTGCGAATGAACGTTCAGCAATCTTCAAGTGAACTGCTTCTTCATAATCTCGGTCACATTGGAGGGCAAACTCCTGTTCCGGAGTCAAGGTGTTCAATGCCTGCATTCTTGACCATTTCTTGCAGGCTGGGGCAATCCAAATGAAATCTGGAGAGATGTCTTCCAACAGCTTGTAGTAGGCATTCCTGTGGTCGGGGCAGTCAAAGTCCCATCCAGTGTTGAGGTCAAAGCTGAAGACCATGTATCCTCTTCGTTGCATTTCCAGGGACAGCCCGGCCTCTCCAGAATAGACTTCCCAGAACACTTTGACTCCTTGTTCATGGGCTCGGAGTCCTTGCTCAAGGACGGTGTGGCGATGGGCAAACATGGTGGCATGATGAAATCGAATGCCACGCAGCAGCTTGTCAGTAATCTCCTTTCTCACAAGCGCAGCCTGTTCATCATCATCCAGGGCGCTGCATGGTGCGTTCTCCATGGACTCCTCTTCAGTGTCATTGTCATCATCCTCGGCGTTCAAACAGTGCTCTGGGGGATCACGTCCAGTTGCCTCCAGGTACTGCAGGAGGGTGTAGGTCGAGGTGTGCATGATCCCTTCTCTCTGCACCATTTCGAAGGTCTCTGTCGTGACCAGGTCAAAGTCAACGTTGTTGCCCTGGGGATCATGGCTCACTCCATCATCCAGGCGAAGCAGGTACTCACCCCGCTCTCCTCTGACGGCAGGCTGCCAGTCTTCAGTGCCATAGCTGATGAGGTCTTTGTCCCAATCGACCCTGACCTTCAGAGCCTTCAGGATGGGTCGGCCCACCAGCAAGGGAGTTGATCCATCCACCAGGAAGCATTCAATGATGCCAGACTTGCCGTTGACATAGACCGGAAGCTTCACTGTCCATTCAGCCTTCCGCATAGCGTCTCCACCAAAGCCAAAGAGCTTGGTCGTGGGGTGGAACGTGTATCGCTCAAGGGGAACTCCGCACCCATTCATGTACTCGATGATCTGCATCAGCGTCTGATGGCCACAGACCATACTGCTAGCTCCACCATCTTGCAGGCCATACCAACCTTGTTCGGAAAGGGGAGGCAAGCCCTGATCCCGAAGATCGTGCATCATGTAGGCTTGATGTTCCTGCACCCTGTAGGCCTGGCCGGTCGCCTTGTTCGTGGTGGATTCAGTCTTTGCCCTCTTTGGCGATTGTGAACCTTTGTTCATAGGGCATTCAGCTGCAGCATGTCCAAAACGTCCACATTTGAAGCACTGCATGGAGTCCAGAGCAGTGCGGCCTCTCATGAGTGCTGAGCCCTTCTGAGGTGGTGACTTGCCTTTTCCTTTTCCTTTCTTCCCTTTTCCCCCTTTCATGATGGGGCGCTGTGTTGTAGCCGTCGAAGAACTCGATGATGTCGGCAGTTCTGAGCCTGTCAATGCCACAACGGGATAGAATCCACGTGCTGCTTTGAGGTTGGCGAACTGTCGACGAGCATCAAGGTAAGTGGCATAGGCCTCCTCCAGCTGGGTGTCTGGCTCATCGCCCCAGCCTTCATCCAGGTAGTAGTGCTCGTCATCGGGGTTCTCAAAGTCCTCAAACTCCTCATAGGCCTGTTCATCGTCATAGGCCTCTTCATCGTTCTGGACGAAGCCTTCCTCAGGGTCCTCTTCATACTCAGGGTCGTAGTCGTCTGCAACATAGGCTTGCTGGCTCTTGCGAGGATACCAGCGACCCTTACCCTTCGTGCTCTTCTGCCATTTCGGATGCTCAGCCCTGGTCTTGAAGTCTTGGCCAAACAGGTAGTACATGGCCTCTTCCACCTTTGCAGCTGGCATGTCGGCACCGACCTGAGTTTGCACGAGGGTTCGCTGCTCTGGCGTCAGGTTGCTCCGTCGAAGAAGCATCCAACCAGAAACGCCATCAGGGATACGAACACCGTGACGTTCGATCTCCCTCAACAACTCTCTGTGTTCCGAGCAGTATGAAAGGAGAGTTTGGTCTCCCTTCCTCATGAGCTGGTAGAAATACTTCTCGAGAGCCCTTGGCATTTCGACACGATTGTCGTATTTAAATGCCGAGTCCAGGACAGCCAACACCTTCTCAAAGCCGTTGGAAGCTTCGGTTGCACTCTCAACCAAATGTTCAACTTGCTTCCAAGCTGTTCCATGGAGACTGGTCAACAAGTTGAGCGTTGCCTCCTTTTCTTTGCCCTGCAACGCCAACTTCTTCTTGTACAGCATAATTCGCTGTCGCCACTCCTTGTAGTCGGACACTTTGTTGTTGAACACGGGGATGTAGGTGTCCTTCATCGTTTCAATGGTGCCCCCAGCCATTGAAGATGTAGCCGATGGTCCCGAGGCTGTAGGTCCATCGCTCGGAGGTGGCATGGAGCTGCCAGAGCTCCGCTACCAATGTTGGTAGTAACGGAGTTGGGTACCAGGTCTGGACAAACGAAGTTCCAGGGAATCGTCGAAAACGAACAGGGCGGCCGCAGTCACACGGCCTTTTGCGCAGCCATGGGGTCACGGACGCGTCACCCACCGCTGGTTTCGAGGCGGGCGCGCACACAACAAGTAACCCTCCACCAAGCATGCCTAGTTTGCGTGGCACGCAAATCACAGACATGTTTTGTTTGCAAGACTTTTTGAAAGAGGTGGCGTGGTTCACGTGTCCAATCCATTTTGGGGTGACTATGAAGGATCCGCAGCCTATTCATCTTTTTCTCTGTTCATCAAACCCATCCTTTTCTGCAAACACCAATCCCCCAAACCAGCTAGAATGTGACCCTCAGCGGTTGTCCTGCCGAATCTGACTTGACCTTCGAGCCGTCCAAGCTGGACCACGACTCGAAAAAGGGTGCCCGGTGGTGATCTGAGTATGCTTCATGTATGCAAATACCTGGATCTCCCAACTATGCAAAATTAGCCCAGCTGGAGACCCCAATAGCAAGATACAAACCGGGACAAAAAGAAAAATCTGGAAACAGCTGCTGTTTTCAACACATCGACCATCTCTTCCTTGGACACCATCATCACATAACCGGGACACCATCACAAAATGACCAGGGCACCATCAAAACATGACCGAGACACCGTCACAACATGATTGGGACACCATCACAACATAACCAGGACACCATCACAAGGTGACCGGGACACCAGCATGACATGACGGGGACACCATCACAACATGACCGGGACACTATCACAACATGACCGGGACACCGTCACATGACCCGGACACCATCAAAACATAACCGGCACGCCGCCAAAACATGACCAGGACACCGACCGGGACACCATCAAAACATGACCGGGACACCGTCACAACATGAGCGAGACACCATCACAACATGACTGGGACACCGTCACAACATGACTGGGACACAATCACAACATACCATCACAAGGACCGGGACACCAACATGACATGACGGGAAAACCATCACAAGATGACCAGGACACCATCACAACATGACCGGGACACCGTCACATGACCCGGACACCATCAAAACATAACCGGCACACCGCCAAAACATGACCAGGACACCATCACAACAGGACCGGGACACCATCAAAACATGACCGGGACACCGTCACAACACGACCGGGACACCATCAAAACGTGACCGGGACACCATCACAACATGACCGGGACACCATCAAAACATGACCGGGACACCATCAC